TTTTTTCCACGTCCAAGATTACCACATTATTTCAATTAAAATGATGTGAGCAGTCAAGTCTATGGTCTATAATCACTGATTGTTGATTCGTGTTTCGATTTATATGATTTCTGTGTTCCGAGATTCTACTTTTCAATAATCTGCGAGTTTGTCCCACATATGATGCGTTGCATTCACTACAATTATTTTGATACACCTGCACTCCTTCCAAAGTCTACCTTTTTGTATTATAGTTTTGATGTATCTATTCAACTTATCCATACCGAAATAAGCTATTATAAGTAAAAAGTTTTCCAGAAATTTTGTTAATTTGTACGAAAGACCAGGTATAAAAGATAGAATGAAAAAGTTCTTTCCAGATGTCGGAGTGGTTTTTTTACGATGATTGGCATTAGGATTATTGTTATTGTATCTTTGTAAATTAATCAAAATTCTTTTCTCGATTGTTTTGAAAATAAAAATAAAGAGTAATCATTCATTAACAATAAATCAATTATTAGTTAGAAATTTTTTTCATGGAGTTCAGGATGAGAAAAACAATTTTATTCACTAATCTCATTATAATTGCCCTTTTTTCAGAATTAGGATAATTAGAATGAAAATTAATGTATTTACATGAAAATGAAAATTTGTGATATCAGTCATAAGTTAAAACGTTGTCAACCACTATTAATGAAGTATTTAAAAAATTTAATTTGTTGCCTCCTAGTTCCAACGTGAATTTGAGTCTCGGATGGTAATTGTTAAATTCTTCTAAGTGTTCTAATGGAACAATGAATGCAATATCGTCCACGTATCAAAAATAAAAAGAAGGTGTAAACCGCAATTTTCCTAACAAAATAGATTCTAAGTGTAACAAAATTTCTGCAATTACTGGTGAGAGAAGTGACCCCATAAGGATATTAAATAGTTGTTTGTAAAATTTGTTGTTGAACAAAAAATAAATAGAGTTCAGCACCAGATTAATGACTATCAAAAATTTCGATTTTGGTAGGTTACTGTTCTGTTCAATGAAATTCCACTTTCTTTCAATACTTATTAGAATCTAGTTTTAGATTAATATGTGATGGTTAGTCGACGATACATCGGTCGAAGGCATATTACTTATATAATGACTAGCGCTTGTTAGTTTATTTAACAATTGACTACATATACAACACCTTAAATATGGGCTTCTGCCTTTTTACAACTCTGACTTTTATAATAACTAGATAACCATTATGCAATATATTATGCGCTGTTTATATGTAGATAACTATAGGACATACGCTGGCATTCGTTATTTTTATATTAGTAATAGCTTGTATTTTTATATTTGCATTGAAAAGGTTCGAAATCGTTGTCGAAACATATACACATTAGTTAAATAATAATAAAATTTTTGTTTGTGCACTATTAACCGCGTTGGCTCTTACTTGGCAATTTTTGTCTGCTTTAATTATTTTTTATGTTTCAACATTGTTATTATTGTTTTTATTACATTAAAGAGTAATTTTAAAAAAGAAAAAAGGATGTATGAACATGTATGGACATATTTCATATATGATTATACATGTTTATGAATATTTATGTATGTTTATATATATTTATATATTCATGTATAAAAAATTTTTTACCGGATTCTTATTCCCTGTTCCTATTGCCTATGCTTTTCATTGCTGTACTCTTGATATGTTGAAATTACAGCTAAAATACTATAAATCGCGATATTTTTTTAATTGCAATATTAATAATCAAAAAGGTCCCCTGAAATTGCCCCATAGAGCGACTTTACACAACATAACTCATCAGATATAATACATATAGATACTAGAAAACTATATATTTGTAGATGTCCCTGAAACGATATACATTTGCAAATGTATGTACAAATGTACATAGTCTTCGAAAGTAACACTGTCTTATACATTTAATACAAATTTGTACAAATAAAAAGGAAGCATTATATATATATTTTAGTGAGTGATTCCGCTTTTATGTATAATATGTACTAAAAAAACAATGTGTTAATAAAAGTCCCCAAAACCTATTATACAATTAACATATATACATATGTCGGATATACATATTTATATATACATATTTCGGACTATCCTTTTAACTTCGCAGGTTAAGATCCAATTATAAAAGTGTTCAGACAAAAGTTATAGGTTTTAAAAAAATCTATTTATTGATCTTATCAGTAGTTGTAGAGTTTAAAAAGATCTATTTATTGATTTTAATAGTTCGACTTTAGGTGGCGTCGCCAAGATTAAGTCAAGGTCACGTTGATTATTTTAAATGGAACACCCTATTTTTTATCCCAAAATCTAATAGACAATGTCGAGATCTTTCCAAAACACTATAATATTTTTTATTTAGTACTTTTCGAGTTATAAGATACAAAAGTTACAGTATTGCCGGCATTAGCATTACGCGTAATGTCCGGTCGAAAGAGGTTAAAACCTCTTGAATGTTGTTCAGGATCATATCGTTCAGGATAATATTTGTCAAAATCGAAACCATTGGAAATTATTTCACTTATTTCCATTTTTGCACTAAAGATTCATTTCTCCGAAATATGAAAATATAATCTCAAATGGTCTTGATCTTGATAAATGTTATCAAGAGATTTTAGCTATTGGTCGGACACCTTGCGTAATGCTAATGCCTAATAATACTGTAATTTTCAAGCCTTATAATTTAAAAAATACTTTATTGAAAAATAATTTTATTATAGCGTTTTGAAAAGCTCTTGACACTAGTTATTAGATTAAAAGTATTGTGCATTTTAAAAAATCGATGTGACCTTCACTTGACTTTGGCAACGCCACCAAAGATCAAACTGATAAGATCAGTAAATAGATCTTTTTGAACTCTACAACTTTTGTCTGAATACAATTGGATCTTATCCTGCGAAGATAAAAGGGTGGTACGGATGGATCTGAAACACTGAGTATATAAGAGTGTCCCAAAAAGATCAGGACATCTGAATACCTCTAAAATACTACTGTGATCAAAAAATATCCGAATTTTATTTTTTTTAAATTGAGGGAAAACTATAAATTAAATCCATTTGCTTTGCTAAGTTGATACACATGCCCTTCACATTTGGTAAGAAAATCATGTGCGTTCTTTCAAGCCGTTTGAGAATGATTAGAATGATAGTTGTTTACGTCAGTAAAGATTTTTGTGGCGATTTTTATCGAGCAAAGAATTTGTTTGAAATTTTGAGTTACAAATGAAATTTCGTTCACAAACGCATTCAAAATGTTACAAAAAGCTTTTGACGATGATTGCAACTTATTGAATTTGTAAACAAAATTTTGTTCGTAAAATATACGCAAAATTTCAAACAAAATTTTTGCTCAATAAAAATCGCCGCGCATAAAAATCTTCACTGACATAAATAACTGTCATTCTCAAACAACTTGAAGGAATATCATGATTTTTTTACCAAATGTGAAGGACATATATACCTACTTGCAAAGCAAACAAATTTGATTTAGTTTTTCCGTAATTTAAAAAAAATGAAATTCGGATACTTTTTAATCACAATAATAAGTTTAACACACAGAAAAGTGTTTCAGATAAAGTTGTAGGGTTCAAAAAGATCTATTTACTGAACTTATCAGTTTGATCTTGTGTGACGTTGCCAAGGTCAGGTCACAATCACATTGATTTTTGTAAATAGATAACATTCGCTAAGATCAAAGTTTCAATGCTACACTTAAAATTTATTTGTATATAAAAATGAAAATAAAAAACAATCTCTAATGACCTTGATCTTAATAAATATTATTCAGGACATGATCCTGAACAACATTCAAGAGATTTTAGTCATCCATAAGACACCTTGCATAATACTAATGCTAATGGAACTGTGACTTTCAAGCATCATTAGAAAGTATTTTTCTAAGTTCCTTAATTTTTTTAAATTTCTTAATTTTTTAGAAAAAATTAGATAGATTTGAGAGATATATTTTCATCTGTAATATTATTTCTCAGCTGAAATAGAAAATTGTTATGTGATTAGGTGTACATATGCTTAAGGGGGAAAACTCATGTAGAAAGTTGAAAAAATTCGAAATTTTTTTCATGAATCAATAGTATGTAACATATAGAACAAAATATCAAAGCCGTAGAACTGAATTCGAAAATTTAAGGCAATTATACAGCTATACGTATTAGTGGCGACGGCGCGCTGTGCCGAGCGGTTTCCGCAGGTCTAAACACGCATCGCCCTTCCAGTCAGTTCCTTTATAGTTGCTCGAAAAGACTAATAAAGCCAACAAGTGGCTTTATTATTACATTTTGAGGAAGAAGGATTGATGTATAGACCTGGCATTGCAGATTAGCATAAAACAATTGTAAGTTTCCAAAAAATGTTATTTTTTTAAAAATTATGTGTTTTTCTCGAAACGACACTTTTCGAGCGGCGTGAAATGTAACTCAAACAATTTTTAAACAACGAACTTCTCCTTGCGTACACATATTCTATAACATCTACTTCACAGCATGAATCTGTTTTTAAATAAATGTTTTTGAAATAAATAGTTGTTTTTTTAATACTATTTATTTTAAAACGTATCTTTTTTTAAATGTTACTATTTTATATTTTTGCCTTTTTTAACTTAAAAATAGGTTCATGTTGAGCGTATATTCATTAACTAACATTTCCATTTTGAATTCCAATTTTTCATTTCAGATAAGCATAGCAGTCCCTAGTCTGTTCCTACACTCTACGAAGCGAGGCACCCTTTTCTTTTAATAGTTGGACATACATCCTTATAATATTAATATTTAATTATACGAGTACTTATATTATGAAAATAAAATTTTTTTCAAATCTATAATTAAATAACAAAGTATGCTGACGGTTTCAGAAAGATTGATTTAATACATTCTTTACAATAAATTCTCGAAAATTGATAAACTTTTAGCTACTTACTTGAGTTTCCCCCCTTAATTTTTGAGAATTCTCAGTTAATCAAACCTTTTTTGTAAATTTCACTACTTACCTTGATCTTCTCTCCCCTTTTACGTAAGATATTTTGAACCTTATTTAAGCTTGTCTCTTTCTGCAAATTTGGTTGCTTTGACAAAACGTCACGAAGATTCATATATAATTTTTCAGTATCGTTTAGCTTCCTTTCTTTCTGAATTATGTCAGTGGACATTTTCAAAATACGTTCTTGTAGAATCTGTACTTTTTTAACAAGCTCAAAGGTGGTAGGATCTGTACCCTATTATGAAGGAAAATATGTGTGTAATGAAACAATAAAATGTTTAAACAATGACAATAATTTACTTAATATTAAAGGTTACAGTAAAAAATCAAACTGGTATAGATTAATTATACAGGATATGAAAGAACATTGAGTAAAATGAGATGATTTTTATCTAAAAATCTAAAAAAATGCAACAAAAAAGTTATACGTATGATTTTACTTTAGTTTTTTGGACTGGATATGATGATATAGAACTTTTATTTATACAAACTCATGAGAAGATGACTTAAATTCACATTAAAGGGATTGTTTCAAGTAATTCGGATGGTGATAATTTCGTTCTAATTATTAAATTTGTATTACAATTCTGCAGACTCCACGATTTTTTTGTTTCAAAAGAATTTGTTTATTGTCGCGACTCTTGATAGCATTTGTGAGGATCGGGTGCAGTCATCGGTTAACAATTTAAAAAATTTTTCTTTTTTTTATAGCTATAAAAGGATTTATATGTGTAAATGTCAATCAGGAAAAAAATATCAAATACGACTAATGCGTAGTTGGAAGCAATAAAGAAATGGAAATACAATCTATTAAAAATAAACAGATTATGAGAGATTTTTTTTTAAAGGAAAAGATAGCACATAGAAAAATATCTATGTCATGCAATAGTGAATACCAAAGCTGTCACTTAAGCTTGACGAAGATTCCACTCTAAACGTAAGAAAGCAAGCGCCAGGTCGCGCTAAATCATAAAATTAATTAACCCCACGTTTTAAGAGTAAGTTGTCTGCTTATCGTTATCCAGCATCATTCACAATCGGTGATTATCTCATTTGATAACTCTAAGAAGTTATCGATAATTAAAAATATAAAAATCAATGCCTTAAACGGTCTAGCTGGATCTTAAATACTTGTACGATTCCGTGTGAATTTATTGTTACAATACTATATATATATTATTACATATATAATATATTATTACAATACTATGTATGTAATCCTTTGAAACGCGCCGAAATTTTTCGGTCTTGAAACACTAACTCTACTAAACTATCGCATTAATATCACGAGTTAAATTAACTAGTAATGTAATAATTTGATCTTCGAACGATCTTAATAATATTGAGTGATATAGTCTTAAGAGCCTTAGTAATATTCTTCGCAATAATTGGCATATGAAGAAACAACGTCTACTTAGACGACGTAAAAACATTTAAGATCCAGATAAGAATTAATTATTTACAGATTTTAATACGTCACTCAGTATTATTAAGATCGTTCGAAGATGCGAAAAAGCATCAAATTATTAAATTGCTAATCAATTTAACTCGCGATATTACTGCGGTAGTTTAGTAGAGTTAATGTTTTAAGATCGAAAAATCATTTACAAGCATTTAAGATCCGTTTAAGGCATTGATTTCTATAATTTGTGTTATCACACATATACGGTTCTTTAATATATTATAGTTATAAAAAATATATAGGTGTAAGAAAAATAAATCTTTCGATAATTATTTAGTTTTACGATATAAAACTTGTCAGCCACTCAGCAACGATCTTCCGATAGCCTTAAAAATCGTAAATCTAGCGATTGTTATTTATCTTATGATACAACTTCTCGACAGCGCATTCGTGATTGACAACGATTTTGTACCCGACAGCTCTAAGAAAAAAATCACATCATCCACATGACACTACAATATATTAATCGATCATAAACAAAGAATAAGATAGTTTTTTTCTGGGTATAAACACAGGCTCACGAAAGCGCATAGTACAGAAAAAAGAAAACTGTCGTCACTCAACTATATCATCTGTCAGTTTGCTAGTTCAGTGGTTCAATCTGAGTTCCACAATAATATTCGGGGGATCTTCTATGAAGATCAACGCTTACAAGGGAACAACGTGAGGTGTTTTTCTTTGATTGTTCTAAACTGTTGCCAGTAGGTTGAACATCGAAAAAAAATCAACACGTATTTTACAGTTTGCTCAGACACTCAATAGTTTAGGAGATATGAAACTGTAAAACTGGTCAGACACTCTTATGACTCTAGATCGCTGATTCAAATCTCAATAGTGACAATTTTTTAAAAATATTTTAAAAAATTTTGCTTATATAAATTGCTTATATAAAAATTTCATTTTTAATAAAAAAAAACACAGAATTAATTTTAAAGGCTTTGGAACCAGCTCGAATTTGGAATCAGCTCGAACAATTGATTTTGGTCAATGTTTCTTCCAAATAAGCGATCATCACAAATTCAAGCTACATCAAGAAACTCAAGCAGGCATTATATATTAACGTATGCTGTTGTGTACATGGCAGAGTCAAATTATCACTTGTTACCCGAAACTACGCCTGTATGCATCTACAGACTTACGAACCTAAATGCCTAAGTTCTAATTATCACACGAAACGCGACCAAGTATAGTTTTGTAAAATCGAGCAAAATTCTAGTATTGAAATCGATAAACATATAATTGTTAAATACAAATCAAGTTGGTACAAATCAAATTTGTAATATTGCTAAGATAATCAAATTAAATGTTAGTGATGATATGTTAGTGATAATCAAAATGACTTATTTCTTTCTACCCTATCCATGGCGAACTCATAAACTGTACTCTGATCATATGTAACTCCTATATTGCTAACGCAGCTTCTTTTTGGGAGTGTAGGGTGTGTGCGAAGACAGCGAGGTAGAGAATATCTCTCGCAGTGTACCTCGAGTGTGTGCATACGATGGCATAAGTAACAAAATCGTATTTTCATTTTTTTTTAAACACTTTTATATAAACAACAATGCTGGACACGTATATAACCATCCAGATAGCCAAGTTGTAGAAAGTAGAATTTTTAAATGTCTGCTATTATGCCAACAAAATAACAACAGAATTGTTACAGAATTAAATGTACACAATACTGTTGATTGCTAAAAAAAAACGTAATAGAATCGGCAGGATCTGCTCAATTTCTGCCAACAATTTGACATTCACATTATGTCGATAGACGATGTTAATAGAACTCAAACCTAATGCGGACGCAGACTGCCATCATTTTCTGCTCAAACATGCTGACAGTCTGCTAGAAGACTGCAGATATTTTGCTATCTGGGCATATAAACAGCGGAAAGTTGTTACAATTTTTTCCATTCTAATGTATACATTTAAATTAAAGAATATCTATGCATTGCTTTAAGTACATCTTTACCTAGACAGTCAATTTTTTTCTTATTTGTATCTATACTTTTAAATATTAAAAATTAAAATTTTCTATCAGGGTAAATTGTAACAACTTACTCACTATGGAGCAAGTTGTTACAGAGCTGGGGCAAGTTATTACATGTACAATATTACTTGAAATCTGGAGACACTGGTAGTGTCTCGGCGCTAAGTTACACGCAGTGACACTACTATGGCTACTTTATGCAAACCAGCGAATTGCGAGGGACAAGATTATTATATCTCAATAAAGGCAGAATCGTTCTATTTACGCTTAATCGATACACTCCGATTGTATAAATATGTGTTTTTATTTTTTTCTCTACGTGCCTTACGGCCGGAGATATTGCGAAATACGAATCTGAAGCTTTTAATGTAAGAAACATCGTCGCTGCTATAGAGTGTGGGAAATGTCCTTTTGGAATTTTTGGTGCAAGTGATAAATGTGACGCTAGCAATGCATGGTCACACATATCTATTTTCTGTGGCTGATGATAAACAAAAATTAGCGATTTTCCGAGCTTATAATCTGCCATATAGGATTTGCCATTTTGAAAACGATGAATGTAAAAGATATAGACCTCAAAATCATAGATATGAGGTTGTATACATTTATTTATTTTATCAATTCGGCCGACATTTTGACTCCGCCATGATTTTCGAAATGAAATTCTGACGACGTCATCGTGAAAAGCGATCCTCAAAATTTTAGTCTACCAAGTTAAAATGTTTCATGTTTTAGTGTGTTAAAAATTAACTTTTGCTTGGAATCAAGCAAAAAATCGTGTTCTTCTACGCGTTGATGGATTAAGCAAAGAATTTGCTGTCAGTACTATGTCTTGAAAACTTCCAAAGTAATCACATTAGATTAAATTGTGATTACCTTGTGTAATAATTACTAGTATGTTCTCTTTAGATTTAATATTTCTTTTTCCTTACACTGTTAGAAATATGACCATGAACTTTCTTTACATGTAAATAAAGCTCGTGGTTATGAGCAAAATTAAGTTACAGTAGTTACTTAAATGTAATGAACGTGTACATTAAATTTATGAAGTTTAATGTATTATACTTTTCTTAAAATTTCCACTAACTTTTATAATGACTCTTTTTATCACTATTTTTATTTCTTTTGTCTAGAATTTCCGTATTTCTTTCAGTAGAAGAATTTCTAGATAAATATCTAATTTTATTATTTATTACTACTAATATATTCTCTCTCTCTCTCTTTCTCTCTCTCTCTCTCTCTCTTTCTCTCTCTCTCTCTCTCTTTCTCTCTCTCTTTCTCTTTCTCTCTCTCCAATATAAATCTTCTATATTCCGATATAATCCGGTTGCTTTATATCAATAGAGTGTTGTGCGTTTGTAAAGAACGGATGCTGTGTGCTTATAAAGATTGGATGCTATGCGCCTGCAAAGATGGGGTGATGTGTACCTGCAAACTTACTATTATTATATGGTGATATAAGGGTGCGTTTGAGAAAAAGATTGTTAGACATTTCTCAAAGAAATTTATTTTCTGTTCATTTGTCATAAAATGTCGGTAAAGACAACAGGTATTACTTTGGGACCTGTTGAAAGAAATATAATTGTCCGAAATGAATGGCTAACGGACAAACATATGGATTATTTTCAACTACTTTTAGCAAGTTGTTTAGATTATAAACCACTCGAAACTTGGCGAATACAGTTATTAGATACTACAAGCTGTGTCAAAAGACACAAAACATATACAAATATTGCACAATTTGTCAAGTTCGTTAGATGGACATTGGATTGCAATTTACGATAGT